TCTCCCACTATATCTAAAAATCACACTGTGCAGAACCGAAATCCATGAAAACCCCAAATAATGATGAAAATGCCAAGCAAACCCCTGGAGGTGTCACATTTATGAAAAGTTTTTCCACTGTCCTATAATCCAGCTGCTGAGGGAGAGCGCACACACACATATATACACACACACACACACACACACACACACACACACACACAAGAAGAAATTGTGAGTGTGGGTTCAGCAGCCACAGTGGAGCACAAAAAGTAAGAACCAACTTACTCAAAGAAATAGCAATTCCCAGTAGTTTCATCTTCCAGTACCTTAACTAAGGCTTTGAAGTCACAGAGAGAGAGGAACTAGTTCCAGAGGTTCCAAGTCTTCATGTAGGTCATTTCATGAAAAGGGTTTAAAGATCACAAAGGCTTTCTTGCTGAATCATAACTGAGCTTTAGGGAGTGTCTGCAGTTCATTTTGGACTGTAAATTACAATATATGGGCCTCCGCATTTGTGTGTTATATCATCCATGAAGAAGGGGGGACGCTGTCCTTACATTGCCCTTACATTGGGGGATTTTTATTCAACGTGTCCAACACATAAAAAGGATAAGACACTTAATGTGAGGACTTAACAAGGGGACAATTTAAGATGTGGTGCTGCTCCAGAACCACAGCTCATGTATTTCCAATTTACATAAAAGATATGGGTATGCATTCAACATGGATGTTACCATGTAGCTGATACTCCCTACATGATCAAGAGTGTCCAATTATTCTTTGTGGACTGGCATTCAAGGCCAGTCCCCAGAATAAAATGTTGGCATTGTATGTTTCTGCAAACCATGGATACGTTATAGTTTCATATGTACGGTGTAGTTCAGATTACGTGAGCTGTGTTAAGCGAGATTTATACTTCTGCACTGAATCAACGCTTTACCCTGTGCCACACACTGATGAGCATCTCCCCAGAAATGTAACACAGTAACACAGACCTCATGTCTATATTTGTAAGCTGACACCATTTCCCTCAGTGGAAACAAAGCTTTTATTTACATTAATTTCACAGATAAGAAACAATAAATTGTGAAGACAATGAAGCCTCCACAAAATAATATTTTAAGTCGTGTGTGTCTTTTATCCAGGCTTCATATGAGCAGAGGAAATCTCCACTTGTTGCTAGCTAATTTATACAATGTAAAATACCATAGCGCTAATAACGTTAGCATGTTATGTTTGTTTGGAAAATGTGTTTAGTATAAGACGGTTGTTTTGTCGGTGAACCTTGTGAGTTGTAATGGAACCAAATTTTGTAACGTTACCTTTGTTTAATGTTGCTGTTGTCCCTGGCTTCATATGAGTAGAGGAAAAGTCCGCTAGCCACTAGGCTAATTTATAAAATTTAATATGCCATAGGCATGTGCTAATGACATTAGCATGTTGTATTCATGGGGAAAATGTGTCCAGACAAATGCTAGTGAAGCCGACTTGTGTACTTGAGTTTGATATTGTCGCTATTAAGCCATTAATATGTGTTTTGCATCAAACTTTACAACACTTTATAGAAACCTGCTGCCGCTGCATGTAACTGCAGTGTGACACAGACACACCACCCCTTAAGTAAATGCTCACAACGGCGTAGGCCATGTACGTAGGCTATGGTGTAGGCTCTGCATAGAGTTGACGAAAACTGTAAATCCCGCTTTGGGAGGAGGGGATGTCATGACAATAGGCAAAATGGCTGTGTAGCAAGCTGCAGGCAACAGCAGACCACTCTGAGACCAACAAAAGTGAATGTTATTTAATGTGAGTTAAAATTAAGAAACTTAAAGTTTTGCAATATATTAAACACCCTAATGTAACATATGTTTGGTTTGCAGAAATGAATGTAGTGTGCTTAGTCTGGCAATTCGGTTGGACGTTCCCAAAGAAAACACAACAAACAAAATCCCAATGCCAAATCTAAACTGGCCCTCTCCTATTGGCTGACCCTTGATGAGGCCATTGGAGTACAGTGAACTCATCGTGTTCAAGAAACCAGTTTGAGATGATTTGAGCTTTGTGACATGGTGCGTTATCCTGCTGGAAGTAGCCATCAGAAGACGGGTACACTGTGGTCATAAAGGGATGGACACGGTCAGCAACAATACTCAGGTAGGCTGTGGTGTTTAACCATGCTCAGTTGGTTCTAAGGGGCCCAAAGTTTGCCAAGAAAATATCCCCCACACCATTACAACACCACCACCAGCAGCCTGATCCGTTGACACAAGGCAGGATGGATCCATGCTTTCATGCTGTTTACCCCAAATTCTGACCCTACCATCTGAATGTCGCAGCAGAAATCCAGACTCTTCAGACCAGGCAACTTTTTTCCAATCTTCCATTGTCCAAATTTGGTGAGCCTGTGCGAAGTGTAGCCTCAGTTTCCAGTTCATAGCCGACAGGAGTAGTACCTGGTGTGGTCTTCTGCTTCATGTTGTTCATTCAGAGATGGTCTTCTGCATACCTTGGTTGTAACAAGTGGTTATTTGAGTTACTGTTACCTTTCTATTATCATGAACCAGTCTGGCCATTCTCCTCTGACCTCTGGCATCAACACAGTATTTTTGCCCAGAGCCCATCTAGCACCAACAACCATGCCATGTTTAAAGTCACTTAAATCACCTTTCCTCCCTTCCTCCATGTCTTAATACATTGAGTTACTGCCACATGAACATGTGTGCCTAATAAAGTGGCCGGTGAGTGTACATTTATTAGAAATAATGCAGTGTTTATATGTGTCTTTCTTAGCAAAACAAGACCCTTTTACCGTGATGTGGCCCAGAAAGAAAAGGCCACATCAAACACAGCCTGTGCCATGTGATCTCCTGTTTGCTTTTTGAATTAAGCCCAATACAACTCATAATAGTCTTTTAACTGCAGATTTATTTCTGTGTACAGACTCTGTGGTGTATTTCTACTTCTTATTCCGGGCCTGTTATGTTTTATTTGGAGAGACCCACAATCAATTATTTAGTATGGTGGAAATTCCTCTGGGTCCTCAGGGGTACACTTTTGTAATTCTGGTTTGATTTGAGGATATGTTTCATGCCAGCCTGTAATTGTTTATTGGGCCTGCACCATAGTGGTAAATGGTCAATAACCAATTTCAGAGTCATACTGAGCACTGTCCTCAGATAAATAAAGCCAAAGTTGTTTGTACCCATTAGAGCCAAATCGTATTTGTATTCCGATATCTTCCTTACAGTTTGCTTTATGGCAGTTAGAGAAAACTGCATATTTTTACACACCCCAGACTGTTTGTTTCTGTGATGAATAAGAGTGAACGACAAAGGGTGGAGGTGAGCAGTGGGGGTTGTTTTGGCAGGTGTTTAACTCAGGAAAAGGACAGATGTTATACCAGGTGCAGTTGAAAGATGAACATTTTTGGGCCCTTATGTTCTCCCTAAACTTGGGGAAAGACATTAATGAATGATGCTATAAAAGGAGCAGAGAGTTGATGTCCCAACCTACTTACCTTAGATTCATTAGGCTCTATTGCATTTTGCATAAATGCTTTTTTTGTTGTTGTTGCTGTACTTTTTCTCTCTAAAAAGTGAAAACATAATACTTGGGTTTCTCATCGTCCTTCATGATTACAAGACCAGCTGCAACACCACTGAAGAAAACTTGCTCTCACAAGACAAGAAGTCAAGGTGACGTAGCCTGGATATGCCAAACGTTGATGCTGGAAAATAGGGTGTTGTCTTTTTTAAGCCAGCTGGTGTGGGGTTTTACCTCCTACAACCTTTACCTCCAGCATAGTGGTCATGATCTTTGCTGTAATAACCAGGGTGATATATGGGCTTGTGCTGCAATACTTAAACATGCAATGGGCAACTGGAGCTCCATGCCAAGTGTCTCAAGTGAACATGTAAACCTGCACCTGTATGACTCATATAATTACTCTCCCTTGATTCATGAAACTACCTTAAAGAGACTCCAGCAATGCGCCAACTTAAAACACCATCTTATTGTTGCACTACTTTTAGGTCACTCTGCCACATAGTTTAGTTTTAAATAGAAAAAAGCCAATAGTGAGTGCAATCAAACCCAATCAAGACTGTGATACACTGTGAGTCACAATCAACCCTCACTGTGAGGAAAAGGAGTATTATTGCACTTTTGTCTCCCCAAACTGCGCTAGAAGGTCATGAAGATGTCCAGCTGTGCGGCTGATTGCAGATGTTGATGTAATGGGGCTGATTGCATGATGTGCCAAGAGCCAGCTGCAGCACGGAAGGATTAAAGATGATGTCACGCGCTAATCTCTTAATGGCATACTGCCTTTTTCCTGAGGAGAGGAGGATATCTATTATCCTGAAAGTGCTTTAGGATTTCATGTAAATGGCAGTTAGCATACTTTAAGGTAAATGCCGTGAGATTGTTCTCTTTTTGTAACGTCTTAGACAGAGGCAAATCAGACTGCAGAAATGCAGTGTTCAGTCTGTGAAGGTGAACTTGTGTGTTGGCAGATAGTTATCACAGACATTTATATGTGCTTCACACATACTTTTGTATGTATTGTCCCCTCTGTGATACAGGATATTTGGAATTGTATTTGGGAGTCTATATTTTCAGGGAGGAAGATTGGAAGGCCATGGATGATATATTGCTGGATAGACTGAATTTTCCCAGTCATGTCAACTTTGATTGATGGGAAGCACATCGTCATCTTGGCTCCATAGTGCGACTACAAAGGCAACTCTACCATCATGCCCCTGACAGTTGCAGATACATACTATGGCTTAAGTCACTGATGTTGGTACATTCTCTTACACTTTGCGACATTTAAATGAAGCTCTAGCAAAAGTTCAGTTGGTCCGGCTATACTTTTGCATGCTTAGGCCTGTCATTTATTTCTTATGCCACCTGCCCTTCACTCCTCCTACTCATACTCACTCATAAATTCTTGCTGTCACTATCTGGGGCTGTAAATTGACATATCAGCTGATCGAATTTAACCAATAGCACAGCAACACACTTTTATTGTCTATCATCTTGCTGTTGTCTTTTTAAATACAATTCTCTTTCTTCCTTTGGTACATTAATGCTGCAGTTGTGTGCACCTTCCAAGTCCCCATCAGCGCCTATTCATCAGCTTCATTAGCTTCATCAGCCTCTGCAGAGTCATCCGTCGTCAGCACCACCAGTGTCTGGGCTCCATGGGGGGGATTTATCTGGCTGCTGCTCGGGACAGACGCCCTGTGATTGCAAAATCTGCCTGTGAAGTCTGAACACCAAAGTCTGTCTGTCAGATCGTAATCATCACATATCATCTGTACACCTGTAATCTCTAATAAACACTAATCTTCATTTCACTCACCTGTCTGTCCTGACTGAAATGTGTGTGTGATGTAAGCAGCAATCTCCAGGGCTGAAAAATTAAGCCAGTGTAAGTATAAAAAACTGCAGTTCCTTGAATTGCCACTTGAGGCAATCCCCTCAGACCGTCATGTTACAATGTCCAACATTTTAAGTGCCTGGTACAAAAACAGTTTTGGCCTCTATAGATAATTTCCACATTCATGACAACTGCACAGGAGGTGAATTTTAATATATAACCCCTCAATGGATATCATCCAGATATAGTCACTGCAGTTCATAAAATGCCAGACTCGAGATTTCAAAACTAAAGTCCACAAACCAGTGGGTGATGTCACAGTGGCTATGTCCATTATTTTTACAAAGTCTGCGGTGTGGTGCCCATGTGTCGTCCTCACCTATCACCAGAGAACAGCCCTGGAGCCTCTCGGGTTGGAGTAGGTCCTGACAGGTGGTAAACTGATGACTGGCACCAGGCAGGAGCTGGAGGTGAGAGAAAAGCTGAGCAGGTGCCTCCCATCATCATCAGCAGCAGCAGCAGTCCCTCAGCAGCACATAGCAGAATGACACATCCAAGACAGTTGCTCCGATCCAACCTAACCTCTTTCGTCCAAGTTTATTGTACAAGATCATTTTTCATATTCTTTCATATCACATTGCCTCTATTTGTTTTATTTTATAGGACTAGATAAACCACTCAGGCATATGGGAACGATGATTAATTAACCTCTTATCGCTGCCTCTCTCATCCCTCTTTACTCTGAGCTCTTGGCTCTTTAGGCCCAGAAGGAGTGCAGGAGCGCACACAAAGCCAAGATCCAAAGAAGCTGTTGCAAGATAACGGACCATAACCATGTCTCATCTACTATACAGTACCTCCACGATATCACACACTCATGGTTTTCATGCTTAGCCTAAAACACACTACGTTCGTATGGATCTTTCAGACATATAAAACTTACTGTGATCACAGTGTCTTAACAAGTTAACATTCTTCAAAGTATTTTGCCGTCTTAATTTAGATTGAGCATTCTCCTGACAAGATATGCCTTTAGATATTTCATTGGTGAAAACATGAAGAGCAGGCACAAACAAATGTTTAAAAAGACCAATCTGTCTTTAATACTGAAATAGATCATTCACCCATATCTCACAATCTGTTGACACATGAATGAAGAGTAAGAAACTAAAGGAGACCGTGTTTTATGCCCCACGCTCTGATTTACACATGTCATAAAATAAACTGTTTGTTTGTATGTTTAAAATGTCTTATCAGAATTCGTATTTCACAACTGCATAATTCACTTTTATCAAATATAAATCCATGCTAAGACTTCAAGTCCTCCCCACATGACTGGTCTGTTTTAATATTCCTTCCAATACTGAATTAACAGGGTTTTTTTGTCAGTCTAGGATTGGTAGTGTTTCACTTAAAGCTGCAGTAATCTTTTCTGTCAGCATTAATATTGGATCAAATGACTATGTGTAATGTGAAAGGGGCTGTACATAGTGATGAACCCACAGAGGACTACCACCTGACCCTTTAGTCTTGTTAGCCTCTTTTAACTCATTGTTTTGGCTTCATAGCCTTCAACTTGACTGTTTTGATTTACTCTCATAGCTCTCATGTGTGTAACTGACCACTGTTTGCAGAGAAAAAACAACTATCTGAAGCACTAAAAGACTTATTGGTGACTACCATGGAGCTTTTAGCAGCTTAAGAGCCAGGACTTTGATTTGCCAGGTCGCCTTAAACCAAGTTTTTATCTCTGGGTCTGAAAGATGAAGCAAAATCTGGAAGTGCCTCAAACCTGCATTCTTTCTAATGGCCAGCAGGGGGCAACTCCACTGGTTGCAAAAAGATGTCTGACAGTATAGTAGCAGACCCTACTTGTCACTTTATTTATTACATCAGTAAATATTTCCCTAATGAGTTTTTGGTCTCAGTCGTTAGTTTCAAGTTCTTCAATACAGCATGATGTTCATTTGTAAATGATGGTCCCATTTAGAGTAAAATAAAAATTAAAGCAGGGTATGCTTGCTGGCGTGGCTACTTGTGATTAACAACCAAGCCAACATTTGTATGTGGTAGTTAATGGGCTGAAAAATGGGCAATATTTGGGATTGTTCATGGGTTACCTATTGGCCCCGTGCCAGTTGCCCACAGGTGTGGGTTTCAAGTGGGCCCCAGATAACATGCCCATTTTGGGTCCATACTCACTTGGTACCCAGGTAGCTCTAGCATAACCATGTGGGGCCCATTTGGGTAAAGTCATTGATGTGGGCAATCGGCATGGGGCCAATATGGGACCCATGGACAATCACATATAGGGTCCATTTTTCAACCCATTTACTACCCACATGGGCCCCATATACAAATGCAAGCTGGGAAGTTGCTACCAGGAAGGTCTGTCAGTTCTCAGTCAGATCCAACCCTCGCTCAACCCCAGCTCGATCCTCTCATACAAATATGGTCACTTCTGGTTCCAACAAACAAAGATGGCGAAGACTAAAATGCAAAACTCAGGGCGTCAGAACAGTAGTCCACAAACCAATGGGTGACGTCCACTTCTATCATGCAGTCTATGCCTTTAACACTACCCTAAATGAATGCTTGTGTCACTTTATGTCTGCTCAGTGTGTAGAAAAGCCAAGATGTCATGCCATATGAACTTTGGGTGAAAATATGTCAATGCCATTAAATCTTGTTACACACAACCCCCAAGTGGCCAAAAATCAATTAACTCTGGTTAAAACACATTACTTAAAACAAGTGTCCTTTCAAATAATTAACAGTTAAAAGTCTGTGACATAAAGTCAATATGGTTTAACCATGGCTGAAAATGAATTTACAAGCGCTGTGAAATCAAAAAGGTTGGCCCCAATCTGTCGTGGTTAGGTCGTTCTTTTTTCTCTACACAGGGGGCAGGTTGACCATCCATATACACTTCTGTACTTATGGATACTGAAGAGACTGCTTCAACTTCTACCTTCATGAGGGGAAGGAAAGAGGGCCAACAGGAAGAACATTTTATTTTAGAAGAGAAACACTCAGAGCCAGGAATACAAGTACAGGCTGTCTTGCTGTGAGGTTACAAGGGTAACCACTTTACTTGATATTGTTTGTTTGTTCACCCCCCGCCCCCCCCCCCCACACTCAGAGCCAGGAATACAAGTACAGGCTGTCTTGCTGTGAGGTTACAAGGGTAACCACTTTACTTGATATTGTTTGTTTGTTCACCCCCCCCCCCCCCCCCCCCCCCGCACTATTTACTTCCTTTTCTTTTTACCAAATCAAGATAAAAGCGAACAAATACATGCTCTCATTCTTGAAATGGTTGCATTCACTGGCATCAACAACTTTTGTCTTACAACTTGTGGTAGACTTCTTCTATTCTCTTTGCCTTTCCTTCAGTGTTTTTTTTTTCCAAGGGACAACTTGCAAGGCTACTTTAAGAAACATGTAAAGGCCTTACAAACACATGAGATAAAAGGATCACAGAGCATCACTAACAAGCGATCTCACATCAAATGGCATTTTAGATACTGAGCCATCTACAAAGTAAGCCAGAGATTCCTCCACTAGCACACATTAGGGGCTCTACATTTGTGATGGTCCAAGGTCAGGGTGTTCCACACTGCCAAAGTGTCATTTTCCGCTGGCACCTTTTTGTTTTTGCCTGCTTAGTGCTTTGTTGACCTGCTGTGAACTTAACCGAGCCTTAATGAAAGAAGAAGTGAAGCATAGAATGTGCTGGTAGCAATGGAGGGGTGCAGAGCATTTTGGAGTCAAGAATAAGCAGGTTTTGTGCTTGTTCCAGCCCCCTGCTCAGACCACATCAAAGGTGCATTGCTTATGACACATGAAGCAACAGCTGTGTTCTGTGAATGACTTGCCTTTCAGTCAAAACACAGTATCTTGGCTTATTTGACTTTGAAATAGCTTCCCCAGTTATAAATCATATCACATTTTCATACTCAAGATACACACATACTGGTGAGACATTGTCATCTCACACAGACCTGTCAGTATGTGCTATCACACACACATACGAGGTAAGAGATGGAAGCCAGTGGTTCATGAAAATAAAGTCCCAGGTGTCTAGACGAGAATAATTATTTATTTCCTACTCCTCTTCCACTCTCTGGGTAAAAATCAATGGTTGAGTCAATAGTCTTCAAGCCCATTCCTGAGGTACATGCCTGTTTCCTATACCTCCTCCACACTAACGGCTGGAGGTAAGTTCAGGAAGAAGGAGATCAAATCTCGAGAAGTCAACCTGACACATGAAATGACACGCCTCCTCTCTCCTAATAGCTCCATCTTCCTTGTAATTGCTCAGGTGTGATTGACAGGGGAAAGTTTAACCTTCACTCTCAAACTTCTTCTAACTGATTGGATGGATTCACTAGAATTTCACTTTAAAAAGGAGTTAGGACAGGTTTAGGGCTCTGAGTTAAATTTTAGACATGATATATGGCTGTTAGAATTGGTCTTTATTGCTTTTTTGACCATCCTCTTCCTCTCATCATGTTTTATGCTCCATGACAAGAACACAATAAACGTAAAAGAGAGTTTCTTCTTGCTATGATCACAAAATATTGTGGATTTAAGCTCACCATGAACATTTGCTGATTGGAAAAGGGAGGATTTGTCCTGTTTGAGGAATGGTTAGGGCGTATCCAAAGTCCAAAATCAATGTCAGCTGTAAATTTAATGCCAGCGTGCCCTTTGTTGACCGTGCTTGTAAAAATGGAGGGATGAATGGATTTCTGTCACTATAAAAGTACACCGTAAAACATAACCCGCTTTTATTTTTTGGCCACTTCAGAGTGTATACTGCATGTGAAAAAGAAATGGAAAACATTTAAAAGGAAAACAAGTCTGACAGTAATATTGGCCTGAGTGACTAAACAGTTGTTGCTTCACTTTAATACCTCAAGTTAATCGACCTTGCTATGTCATGGTCAGATAATTCATAGGTGGAAATTTTAAATGTTAACTTTACAAGTTAACTTTCTTGTGCCTTAAGAACACATATTTATTGGCTCTCGCTTAACAGATATGAGAATTAGTATGAAATACAGATTTTTTTCCAGAGCAACATTTAACACAAAGGTCTAATCTGCCCTGGGGATTTTAGCAAACAGCCATTTGCCTTCATGGACATCACTCTGTTATGCTAAACTGCACCAAAACATAACGTAAAACACTTAAATCCATCATGACCGCTCATATATTTCCCAGGAATTCATACTAGCCTACTAATGGTGCTACATCAGGATATGCTAATTCAGGAGAGGAGATGGAGAGACGTTGGAGGCCACTTTTCTCTCCTTTTTCATTAGGAATGTAATTAATGCCAGTGCAGATGGATCGGCTGATTAAATAATGTTATAGTGCTGGATTTCAGGAGCAGAATGTACAGCCTGTTTTATGGGAAAAGCTGACATGAATATTTCCTCTTGAAACAAATGAGTGTATGCTGTAAAATGGGATATTCATTAGAACATTTATTATGTTA